TAGCCTACCAGGCTTGTTTTTGTCACTAAGGTACATCCGCGTACTGTTTTTTGCATCAGCCGCTCGGCCGCGTATAAACCTAACCTTTTCCCATTTTTCTATCCACAGTTTTTTAAAAAATTCTTGCTGTTTTTTCCCTGAGATTTTTCTCCACGATTTCTGGCAATTTTTCCCTGTTTTTCCTGATTCTCCCTGTTTTTCCCTTGTTTTCTACGTTTTCCCCTGTTTTCCACTTGTTTTTCTGTTTTCTTTTTTCCTGTTTTTCCTGATTTCCCCATGTTTTTCTACTTTTCCCTTTTCCCCTGTTTTTCTATGTTTTTCCTTGATTTCCCTCCCTTTTTTTCTTGTTTTCTGTTTTTCTATTTTTTTCTCCCTTTTTTCCTTTTTTTACGTTTTTCCCCTGTTTTCCTGTGTTTTTCTTTGTTTTTTCCCTTTTCCCATGTTTTTCTTGTTTTTTCTTGATTCTCCCTGTTTTCCTTGTTTTTCTACGTTTTCCACTGTTTTCCCGTGTTTTTCTATGCTTTTTCTTGTTTCTCCCTGTTTTCCCGTGTTTTTCTGTTTTTACTTGATTCTCCCTGTTTTCCCTTGTTGTTTTACGTTTTCCCCTGTTTTCCTGCGTTTTCTTTATGGTTTTCCCTGTTTTCCCGTGTTTTTCTATGTTTTTTTTATTCTCCCTGTTTTCCTGTGTTTTTCTACGTTTCCCCTGTTTTCCCGTGTTTTTCTATGTTTTTCCTTGATTCTCCCTGTTTTCCCGTGTTTTTCTACGTTTCCTCCTGTTTTCCCATGTTTTCCTATGTTTTTCCTTGATTCTCCCTGTTTTCCCATGTTTTTCTACGTTTTCCTCATTTTCCCATGTTTTGCTATGTTTTTCCTTGATTCTCCCTGTTTTTCTATGTTTTCCTCTGATTCTCTCTTTTAATTTCCAGTGTTTTCCTACGTTTTCACCTGTTTCCCTGTTTTCCCACCATTCCTCCCCCCTTTTCTCTTTTTGGTTTTTTGATTTTTTTTTTACCTTTTTCGTCTTGTGTTTGTCTTGACACGTGTGTTTAAAGTGCGAATTGTTCCAGATAATGGGCGTGGTACAAAAATAAGTGAGCAGGAAAAAAGGCTATCGGAGATCTCTACAGACTTCAGAAGCCTCTTTCATGACTGGTTTCATTTAATTTTTCTTAATGACATCCCTTGCTATTTTTCAGAAGATTCCAACTCTTCCCTCACCCGTGTCCGTTCTCTCACAAATTCCATTCCACTTAGGAATCCGAGAGTACTATTATTTTAGAAAACCTGAATATGTCAATTTTGCAGCAATGTCATTTGTCGAAAAGAAAGTATCGATATGAGTTTCCTCTGTTTACCTAGGCGAAAACACGCTGCCATATATAGCATATTAACATTCAACAAGTATATGTTATCTTTTATACTTACCATTGTCTTTGGTTTGATGAGATGTCAAAGATATATCCTCCCACGCCACTTGCTTCGAAAATGGAAGAGAAACTTGTTGTAAAATTGGAAATGATGGTCACTTTTTTTGTGATGAATGAAGACTAGCTTCCCTTCGTGTTCAAAGATACCCCTTGACGAGGTGTCCGCTCCATCTGTACCATCATTGCTCTACCCCCCCCCAAAAAAAAAGATGTACAAGTTCGGCGCGCATTTTTCTTTGGAAGGGAACCAATTATCTTTCAACCATGCACATTCTGAGAAAGAGGAATAAAAAGCAGTTGAATTTTTTACCTGAGTCTGCTGAGAGTTAGAATCTACATCGAGATCAGGGTTGATCGTGTTGTCGAAGACATTTTAAGAGGAACACTTCGTGCTGCTCGTGCATGGAAATGGTACCGGCTTGAATGTTACATAGAAAATATAAGAATATGCTTCCCGTAAAATTACTTTCTATAGTGAATTCACGTTAGGTCCATAAAATTCCCCTCTGTACAGTTATTTTACATTTATTCGTTTTACGCAATAAAATTATAATACCCCGCTAAATAAGGGGTGGGAGGGGGGTAGTGGGGTGAAATGGGGTATTTGGAATCTTCGTGGGCGTCCATTCTTCCGGAAAGCTTCTCTGAATTATGACCTTTATCAAGCGCAAAAAAAAAAAAAGAAACGTTCGAATCGTTTGAGGCATGAACCTACTCCTCATTACTCACTTTATCACTATTATCAGTATGTACGTTATTTATGGCTGGGTGTGGGGAGGTGAGTTTAAAATTCCCAATTTCCTCCCCCAAAAAAAAAAAGGAACAATTAAGTAAAAAATAATCGTAGTAGAAAAAAAAAAAAATAGGCAGCATGACTTTTACATCATGCTGAAATGCTGCGTGTGTTCAAGTCATGTCTCTGTTTCCTGCAGCGTGAAGATTAATAATATTAGGCTCTCGTCCCATACGTGAAAATGTGCTTGATGTAGATCATAATATTATATAGCCTTGGGAAGCTGTTGGTACCCACTACAATATTCAGGTCCGGCGGGGGGGTTTTAGGTCCGGGAGGTACCCAGTTTGAAACTCTGACCCTGTTAAGGAAAAAAAACTCAAAACTACACACAGTCGAACCTGTATTAAGTGGCACCGTATTAAGCGGTCAACCTCTATTAAGCGGTCACCTTTCAAAGTCCCGAAAATTGCGTCCCTTTATGTACTGTAATCTCGACCTCTATTAAGCGGTCGCGGTCACCATTTGCGAAGTCCTAATGGGACTTTTTCTATTGTCTTGACCTGTCAAGAAACGGTCACACGATGTCAATTACTTGTTCATGCAGTTTTAAATAATGCAACACACGAGGTACAACAATTGATTTACTTGTTTATATTGGCAAATCATTTGAGTAACACCAGTTAGACTCTCAGACAACCTTGAACAGAATTAAATGCAACAGCACAACTCGCATAATCGAGGATAAAGCCACAGCACTGTAGCCAAAGCGCGCCATCTCTCCATTCTAGATTAGTTGGCGAGTGAAGTTGGGGGGGGGGCTCCTTTTTTAGGTCTCTAAAATAGACAAGTCATGCAACAACACAACCTATAGAAAAAAAAAAAAAGAAAACAAACAAACATTAAGTGTAGAATGGTTGTTCATATTTTCTCAGAAATAACAATGACAGGAAAAAAGAGAAAAACAAACATGGGAAAACAAGGGAAACCACAGGAAAACAGAGGAAAACCAAGGAAAACAGGGGAAACATGGTAAAACAGAGGAAAAACAAGGAGAATCAAGGAAAAATATAGAAAAACATGGGAAAACAGCGGAAAACGTGGAAAAACACGGAAAAACAGGGAGAATCAGAGGAAAACATAAAAAAACACGGAAAAACATTGGAAAACAGGGGAAAACGTGGAACAACACGGAAAAACAGGGAGAAACAAGGAAAAACAGCTTGAATTTCATCCGATTACTTCGAGTCGTTATTACTCCCTCAGTAACGTCTGAATCGACCGGCCGTTAATGCCGTCCAGTGACGTCACTAGTCCTTGACCTTTGCTTTAATTCATGCAAAAAGTAAAACACGATTTTCAAGTGGCAAACCGAGAAATATCGTTTGGAAATGTCTGCATGATACAGGACTGCTTTATTTTTTTCGATTGTAATTCATGTTTAACGTTCAAACTATCAACTGCATGCAGTACAACTCTGAACCGGTTGTACTAAATTCTATAAATATCAAACTCGGTCGCAATCACGCAAATGAAATAAACACACACACGGAACACTTAGTTCAAAAACACAATGATTTGCTTTAATTAACGAAGAAAAAAAAGCAAGGAGACAAGAAAGAATAGCTAACAGAATCATTTCACTTGACGATAAAAATAGTAAGAAGGTCGAATTATAACATTGCTCTCAGAAAACTTCGCGTAAACAAAATCACCGGCCGCCGACACCACAAAGCGGCTCTAAATGAAAAACCTACCCACTCTCCGCAATGATTCTTCATTCGCAGTTCAATTTAGCACTTCAGTTTCGAAGACAAGGGCAATTTTGCTGGTTAAGATAAAGATTAAGCTTACCGAAATGTTTGAACTAAACGAAAGAATGCCGGGGATGCGATCCGCTGAATATCAAGCGACAATCGCGCTAAAATTTTTCATAATTATACATAATTATGCGAATGTTTAGACAATCAACCAATCAAAATCACTACCCGGTTTTCGGGTAGTGAGTGACGTCACTGGACGGCATTAACGGCCCGTCGATTCAGACGTTGTTGAGAGGAGAAAACGACTCGAAGCAATCGGATGATTTCAGGTTAGGAAAAACATAGAAAAACAGGGAAAAACAGGGAGAATCAAAGAAAAACATACTAAAACACAGGGAAACAGTGGTAAAGGTTGAAAAACACGGGAAAACAGGTAGAATCGAGGAAAAACATAGAAAAACATGGGAAATCAGGGAAAACAAAGTAAAACAC